GCACACTACCCCCGGGGGAAGGGGCCAGCACCTCCGGGGGCCGCGCATTGGAACAAGCACGCCGTCGGATGTCGGGAAGTGTGGCGGGGGAATGAATGCCAGGTCCCGTCGGAGCATGTGGGGCGCTCCAGAAATGGACTCGCCTTCGAGGGTAGAATGAGTTGGCCTCTCGTCCCTGGCGGAGGCTGGGATATTGCCGGCGGAAGGGGGCGGAAGTAAAAGGATGTCGCCTTCGCCTGCGGAGGGTTGGCGGAAGATAGCAGAAGAGAACATTTACCCTCTAAGAGATGACAACTTTTGCGGGCGGCGACATAAGAACCCTGCCCTTGCCGATCAACGATTCAAGCAACTCGATGGGCGGCGGAAGTAGGGCTCGAAATTCCGGCCAGAAGGGCGCATGTACCACGCTAGTTTCAGGATGCTCCTGGCCAGGCATGGCGGGGACGGTGCCCAGACTGGACTGAGCGGGGGGTCCTCCAGTCCTACGATTCGACGTCGCGAAAAGATGCAACTTCGTGAAAATCACGACAGGTCCCCTAGACCCAATCTTTCCGCAGTATTTCTCAAGCCGCATCGACCTGCGAGGGGCCTGGGGGCCTGGGTCCCGAATTCGGGTGAGAGCGCTAGGCGCGCGCAGAATCACAATGCCAGGATCTCAGGGATGGCGGGGACATGTGGGTGTCCAGAGACAGCTGGGGGGTCCTCCAGAGCCACTTCGCGATTTGTCCCATGACGCCAGAGGAGGCCGTTGCAGATGAGCACTTTTTCACACCAGGGCGTTTTCGCGCTCCAGGTGTCCCTCGCTGATCGATCCGGCTCGGAACGTGCTTCAGAAAGTTGGGGCCCATTCAGTGCTCCCGGGGTGAGTTTCCAAGATGCTGCATTTTTTCCGTGACGTCGGATCTCAGTGCCCAGACCCCCCACGTCGTTTTTTGTTTGTTTCAGAAGTGGACATGTCGGACGGGGGTCGGACAAGGATCAATCCGTTCCAGAGCGTTTTGGAACGTTCTCAGAGCGTTCTGGAACACTCTGAGAAGGCCGTGGCGCCCGAGACATCCTCCAACGCCGCCTGATCTCAGAGTTTCTCAAATTATTATTACACGATTTTATCGTCGTCCTGGCTTCATCTTAAAACTCAGAGGTCTGGACTCCTCCCCAGGGGCCACGGCCAGGTAGGGCCCCCCCGAGGCCAAAAATAGCGAGAATCCATTCGTATTATATATTTGTTTCACGACGCGAGGGGTTTCAAGGGTCGCCTTCCAGAGCCAAGTCGCGATTTTCTCCCGCGGCTGCAGGAGGCCTCAGGGGCAATGTTAGGTGGGGATAGGCTCAGAGGGGAACGCATCGACCCCCCATCGCCCACTGATCCCCGATAGGGACCCGATCGTCTACCCCGCCCAACACCATCGGGGACATCTCGCCGATCCGTCGGCGACGTATCGCCGATTCCAGTTCAATGTTTCCCATCTAGGCTGGTCCCCCCTCCCCTAACGTTGCCCCTCAGGGTGGAGCTTGGCGGGAGGATGGGTGAGAGGAGATTTTGATTCACTCGCGGGTTCTGGTCAGAACAATAATTCCTGCACGTGGCCGACGCGCTACGGAAGGGCCCGACGGGGCCGAAAGAGAACGAGGGACGGGCCCCCGGAACCACAGACAACACGAGCGGAGGGACCCGACCGAGGAAAAGGGAGCACCGAAACCTCGAGGGCCACGAACACCTCAATCAAACCTCTGTGCCGTGAAGAAAGCACGCAGGCTCAAAGCAGATCAATTATCTGCTCAAGCTGGAACTCGCTAGCTCTGTAAAATCGGGGGCAGTGCAAACGTATAGACAAGACATCACCCCTTCGCTCCTCATCTTCCCTCCCCACCCCCTCCCAGCCATAGCAGAGTTGCTGCAGAGAGAGGGGGAGGAAGAGGAGGAACTGCCGCAGGAGTGCACGCGCGGGGCTCAGGTAGCACGTTTTCCGCGAGAGCGACCAGTCCCATCACGCAGTTCGGGTGGGCGGAACGAGTTCGGAGCGAACTTGAAGGGAGTGGCACTGAGGGGTGCGAGCCACGCCTGTGCCACTGTCTGGCGCGCTCTCCACCAGGTCGCAGAAGGGATCTCGGAACCAGTGCAATCTTTCGAGAAAGGCTACCAGCAAAATCAGCAACTTTGGCGCGGACTCACTAGCTTCATCTTTAGGAGTCCCGGCCGAACCAGCTGCATCAGGAAGACCAGAACGATCATCAGCATGAGATGGCACAAGATGAGCTGCAACTTCAGGAAGAAGTCGAAGATTGCAAGCTTCCCCACGACAAGGTGCAACATCAGAAGGAAGACAACGTTCAGGAGAAGATGCAAGTTCAGAGTCACATCGAAGACCATATCCATCGCCGACAAAGCTGATACCATGCCGAACTCCACGGACAGCATCAGGCGCAGGAACATCGTCAGGTCCATTACCAGCCGCGGAACTCCACACTGATGTACGGCGAGGCGAGTTCCAGTTGTCGTACCAACTGTACACGTGGCGCAGAACTCAGAACGCTGGCAGACCTTTGTGCCGTGAGATGCTGCATGAGGTGGTACGCGACGTCGATACGCTCCGTGGACTTGACGAGGCGGCGATCCAAGACGCCCGCGGCCCGCGCAGCACGGGCAGCCACGGTGAGGCCTTCGAAGACGCAGCCCAAACGCAGCTCGAGCGTGTCCATTAGGCCATCCCAGAGGCAAGCCAGCCTATGAGCCTTGCCAAGGTCGAGGGTGGCTTCCATGGCAGCGGGGCAGGGACGAGAGACAGAAAATGCCTTACAGGCGCGCCGCGGACCCAGCGCTGGCAAGCCAGCAACCTTGAGCCAAAACTGGCTACGGATGGGTGAGAGGAGGGCGACGGTCACGCGGAAGGGGGCGGGCGAGGATAGGGGATCGGGGACCACGAGCGACGCAAAAAACTGGGGCCCTCTACGCCGACGTTGGCGCGTAAGTTGCCCCGCGTGAGCTCGCGCGTAAGCGCCCTCGTCTTCAATGTGGCGCGTCGCGCTGGTGGCCCGCGTGAGCCACCGCGCAAGGCCGCCGTGCCATCTCGCGCAAGACCCGTTCCTGATCGGCGCTCGCCTGGAGCCCGATCGGACCGGCTCGGGGAAGGCCCAACGAGGCCGACCACGGCGAAAGCTTGCGCCCCTTCTTTTGGCCGGCGCGGGGGAGGCCTGCGGGGGCCCTGCTTCGGAGCCGCGCCCCTGACACGTCTGGCCCACGGCCGGCAGCAGGCCGCGGCAGAGGCGCCAGCCGCCTCCCGCGAGGGGCCCACCGGCCGCGGCGCCCTCCCCGGGCCCCGGGAGCGTCAGCAAGCGAGTCGGGATGGAGAGCCGGTGCCGGGAAAGCGGTTGAGACCTCCTGGGTGCCACGTGCAAGTGATCCCGACCCGACCCCAATTGCAATAAAGGGGGAAGCTTCCGAAGCGGCACTACTTGGCATGCGGCATTCCTTGGCACTGCTTGGCACTGCTTGGCATCACTTTGCTCTGCTTTGCTTTGCATTGCATTGCTTTGCATGGGTTTGCATCGTTTGGCGTTGCCTGGCGTTACTTTGCATTGTATTAGATTGCTTGGGATTGTTCGGCGTTGCTTGGCATTGCCTGGGATGGTTTGTCGTTGCTTGCCATTGGTTGGCGTTGCTCGGCATCGCTTGGCGTTGCTTGGCATTGGTTGGTGTCGCTTGGCATGGCTACTACGAAACAAAGCCAAGCAACCCTAGGAATGCAGTAATTGAGAACACAAGATCAAGCAAGATGGTGAAGGCCTCTTCAAGCATAGAAAGGGAACAAGACCAAGCAACCCGAGGAAGGCCTCTTCAACACACAGTAAGGACGTAAGACCTGACATCCCGAGGAAGGCGCCTTCAGAAGCAGTAGAGAAACGAGACCGAGCCACTCGAGGAAGGCCCTCCCAGAAACAGGAAGGACGCAAGACCGGGCCGCTTGAGGAAGCCCAGCCGGCGCAGGCCCCGCACCCGCCTGTGCTGAAAGAGCCCCTGGGCTAAGCCTGCTTCGGGGGGGGTCCAGAATGATGGGCCCATGTTTGTCCGCCACCACTACCATATGTAGGACGGGGGAGAAGGGAGGATGGGGAGCTCCTCCGCCTTTCTCCTCCTCCTCCTCCTCCTCCTCCTCCTCCTCCTCCTCCGCTTTTCCTTCCTCCTTCTCCTCCCTCTCCTTCCTTTGGCAGTCGTGGTGGAACATCGGCCCACCACAGACGACGTCGGAGGTCTGGGACCCTCAGCGAGCTGCATTGCGTGGGGTCCGCGAGAGGGCGTCTGCATCGCAACGCCTGCGGGCCGGCGCCCGCCGGGTCCGAGCCCGCGTCGGTCTCGCCAGAGGGCGCCTTGCCAAAAAGGGGGCTCGGCCCACATCCGACAGCGATCCCACACCCAGATGGTCTGGTACCGAAAATTTTCGGTAGCGATTTCGACGCACCCCGAATTTCGGTAGCGACCGGATCTTCGTTTGAGGGCGTTGAAATAGCGGATTTCAGAACGCTCTGATACCGGTATTGGGCGCTACATTTCGGTATTTCGGTAGCGACCGATCTCTGCGGAGCGCTACCGGAAATTTTCGGTAGCGGACCATCAGGGCATGGTCGGGAAGCCGGGCGTCTGTACACGGATCGGCGGATCAGGGACCGGGTCCTGAGGGATGGGGCCGTAGGTATAGGATCCCAAGTTGAACTGAGGCCGCTCGTAGGGCCTCATCTTGGAACCGCCGATCCGGATCCGATCCGAGCTCCCTGGCCAGCTGGGCGACCTGGCGTACAGCCAAGACGCTGAAACAGGGACATCTTTGTGATCATGGAGGGGCTTCGGTTTCCAGCCTTTCCTCGGCATCTTGGTCGGGGAATTTGCTCATAGCCGAGTGCCGCCGTGGCCGTGAAAGCCCTCTCGTTCCCCACTCCGCGCTCCTGCACGGTAGCTCGGCGCCTGTACACCGAGCTCCTTGGCCGACCAGGCGACCTGGCCAGACCTCCGAGGGCTCGGTGCTCCGAGGCGGGAGCTCTGGGCCGCTTCCTGGGGACCCTTGGGCTCCGTCCTGGGCCTTGGTTTCGGGTGTCGCCAGGACCCCAGGTGAGGGGGCCCAGATGACGGTATAGGGCCCCAGAGCCCCTTGAGCTGGCCAGAGTCACTGAACCAGGCTCGCCGTAGCTGGTGTTTTTTTCGGGTGACGCCAGTTCCGGTTAGTGGAACGGGGCGGGGGGGGCGTTCCCCCGAGGATACGTCACCAATCCAGGCCCCACTGCTGACACCCAGTTCTGCCAACCTCCGACTGTTGGCGGTCCTGGGGCCCTGCGAGGGACCCCAGACGCCGGGAACGGCGAGCAGCTCGGCCACGCCCTTTCTCAAGACGCTTGTCTGGGCCCCTGGCCGGCCCAGGCGACCTGGTGCGTGCCCGCCCATCGGCCGTTGGAGAGGAGGGATTTCTGGGGTCCCAGATTCCAAGCTGCTTTCAGCGCCGTCCTACCTCAAGGATCGAGTGGCTTCACCTTTTCGGTCCTCTTTGGGGGGCGGGCGGACACCCAATCTGCCTTCCACGCCCTCCTACTTCATCTTTCTGCCTACTTCTTCCGACCGATGGGTGCCGAGCCCCTCCCCCAGGACTCCTCGCACCTCGCGCCAGGGCGCCCGTGCTTGGAGGCCGCGGACGCCGCGCTCGAGGCGGGCGGCCTCTTCGCGGCCGAGGGCGCCTCCGACGCGCGCCGCAGCGGGGAGGGCAGGCCGCTCCCGGGCCTGCCGCCGCACGTGCCAGCCGGGGAGGCGCCAGGGAGGGCCCCGGGCCCCGAGGACGAGGGAGGTGCCGATGCGGCGGAGGCCCACGCCAAGAGTCGCCGCGCTCGCCTCCAGGGGGGCTTCCTGGGCTTCGATGGCTTCTCCATGGAAGGCGTGGCGTTCCCACACCCAAAGTCCATGGACGCCCTGGGGTCTCAGGGCCGGGCTTCTCGTGGCAGGCTTCTTTTGTGGCCTGGCCTCCACTGCACCGCAGGCCTCCCCTCGTTTCCGCCCCTCTCTGTGGGCCTCCCGGGAGCCGGGAGGCCCTCCGTCCCCGCGGCTGTATATAGTCGAGGCCCTGAAGAAGGAACCCCTTTCGTTGGGAAGGGGCTCCGCGTTCCTTTGAGTGCTTCACAGCTTGCCTCAGGCTTCCCTTGTGTCTTCGGCAGGGAAATCGAAGGTTAACTTCTGGAAGAGAGGGGGAGGAGGAGGAGGAGGAGGAGGAGGAGGAGGAGGAGGAGGAGGAGGAGGAGGAGGAGGAGTTTTGGGTCCCTCAGGTCAACGCCCCGACCGTATTCGGTTCGAAGTTCTGGTCAGGCCGCAGGCCCACGAGCGGCGAGTGCGCGGTGTGGAGCAGCAGCGCCGGCACCTCCCCCGAGCTCCGACGGGCTGCTTTCTTGCGCCCGACGGTTCTCCCCCGAGATCGGCCTCGGGGGACCGCTGTCCGGCCCCAGGACCACAGAAGCATGGATCGGTCGGGTCGGGCGAAAGGGGGGGATTGGGAAAGGGGGGGTTACGAAATCTGCTGCATGCAGCTGGTTTCGGCCTCACCGAGGGGCCCATTCCTCGATACATGGCCGCTTCTGGCGCCAGGAGGCGCCGGGAAAATCAGCTACGTGAGCTGATTCTCAAACCCCCCCTTTGCTATCCCCCCCTTTCGCCCGACCCGAATCGGGGACGAGAGCCACCCCCGGGGGAGCGCTCGGGACGCTGAGGGGCGCGGTTCGAAGGCATCCGCTCGGAGGGTGTCCGGGGGCTTCCGACGCTGCTGGAGGAGCCAGGTCGGAGAAGCGTTCGCCGTTTTCGGCATCTTGGAGGCCCTCGCCAGGCCCCTGGGGCTGTCACAGAACGGTTCGATTCCAGGGCCGCCACAGCACTGAAGGAAGTCAGGGCGACGGATCTGTGGGGCCTCGCCCCCGTCCACAACGGCCATCCTATCTGGTGGTGGCCTTCGGCCATCCCGCCACCAGTGCCCGTGTCGTGTGCCAGAGGCCTCTCAGAGGCTCCCTTGGGATCTCTTCGGAGGCCTCCTCTTTGAGGCTTCTCAGGGGCGCCAGGGATGTCCTTCCCCCCAGCTAAGCCAAGATGCCCCTGCTGCGCTCACCCCTGCCGCATGCATCCCGCCCGCGTCTGAGGGGGGGGGGAGGGGCCGCCGCGGAAAGGGTCTGCTATGGAACAACCCCGCCGCGCTTCGACGCGAAAAAAACTGCGACGCACGGCGTTTTACATGCACGTGTTGGCCCTCGCCAGCCCCCCTCGACGGCCGAAGACGGCTGCGTCGGGATGAGAGTGCCGGTCCCGGGGAGGCGGTCCAGGCCTCTGAGGTCCCACGTCTCGGCGACCACACAGGGCGTGGTTACGCCGGCGTGTGTGGTCTGCGATCTGCGTCGCGCGGGGCTTGGGGGGCACCACGTTGCCCTCGTCGGGCCGCCTCGGGGCGCGGCGGAGAACTCTGTCGAGGTCCTCGGCAGCCCCCCCAG